ACGAAATTAGAAACGAATTACATTCAATGTTTTATGATTATTCAACGTGAAACGTTCAAAGAAAGATTGTTAAATCAGTCAGTTTTCCTATTTGATATTCAATCATAAATTAGAGAAGCTAAAAATGAGAATAAAATGTAAAATGGCACTGCAAAAATCAGCATAGAAAACCGCTGTTCCGTAAAAAATTAATCTGTGCACTTATTTTTATCAAAAAACACACAGAAAAATACTATAAAACTGCAACTCATTGTACGGAATTAGAGTAGTATTTGCCAGATAAATTGCTACTTTTAACTGATAAAATCACATTATAAATAGGATTATTGGAGCGACAATGTCAGTGATTCGAAAACTGCTAAGTGGAATCTTCACCAAACGAAACATAATGTCTGAAAAACACTTATCTGCAGGTGAGCTTAGATAAATCGACAAATCAATGCGATAAAGCTTTAAATAATATTTAATATTTGCATGAAATAATTGATAAGCCTGTATCAGAATATAAACAATAATAATGATGAAATATTCGTTAGGCGTAAAATGCAGTTTCAAATGTCCCCAAAAGTTAAAAAAAATTGTTGAATTTATAAACTTAGATTTTCGACGACGGAATTATGATATTACTGGGCAAATTATGCAACCGCACTTTCCTCTTAACTGAAAAGCACTTGACTTCAGTCTTCTTGATACAACTGCGAATAACTAGAAAAATGTGTAAAATATCGCATGGAACTTTTAGGCTCTGTGGAGCCTCCAAAAGTTGATGGACTTCTGCGAGTATACTCGCTAATAGTGTGTCCTTTTGCGAAAAGAGTCAGACTGGTGCTGAAAGCTAAGAACCTTCCACACGACATCGTCAACATCAACCTTCAAGACAAACCCGAATGGTACTTCAAAATCCACCCAAAAGGTATGAAAACATGGCGAAAAATTCAAGCATTTTTTACTTATTCTTCAATTTATTTTAAAATTTGATACTATTAATAAAATGATCACTCCCAGGACAAGTGCCAGCTTTATTTGATAACGGCAAAGTAATAATTGAAAGCCTGGATATTGCGGACTATTTGGACGAAAAATACCCCACGCAAAGTCCTCTCTACCCCAAGGATCCAGCTGCCAAAAAAAGGGATCAGGAGGTAATCAAGAATTTGTTTCCGGAACCCACTAGCCTGCTGAGCAAGGTGCAATACAGCAGCGAAACATACTCGGTGGATGCTGCTCTGGACCTTTTGCTCCCCGCAGCTCAGCCACTGGAAGACGAACTAGCCAAAAGAGGAACTCGCTTCTTCGGCGGAGAAAAACCTGGAATGGTAAGCCGATTTCACAACTCCTTTTAAAATGCAAATCTTTTAAATGATGGATTTCAGATTGACTTCATGTTGTGGCCATGGGCGGAACGTGCGCAAGCCCTTCCAGGTTTGCTTGCCGTCGATTCGTTGAACTTAAAAGACGATCAAATCCCCAAGCTACGAAAATGGGCAAGAACAATGATCGAAGTTCCAA